TAACAATTGTTTAGCTTGAATTGTAATTATTTATATCTATCTATAAAGAGGCTACTTTTGCATTGTAAATCTACTCTCGTGCTTATTAGTAGAAGATCCTTTAGTAAGTAGGCATTCAACTTGTTGAACACAATTTAAGGTCTTATTGATACCTGATTTAAGCCCAACTATAAGGTCTTGCAAGCACCCATAAACCATATTGGTTTAGGTCTTGTTAGCACTCCTATAAGTCTAACTAGGAAATGTATTGTAGGCACCTGTGAAGTCTTGTTAATTGTAAAGGCTTGGCTAATGTTTGGGAAGTCTAGTCAGTTAGTGGAAATCCTCAATGGTGGCCTAAGGTTAAGATAAAAATCCCTTTGTGCCTTCTTGTTTTTTTTTTCTTTTCTTTTTAAGTTTATAGGTTTTCTTGTGCTAATTTATTTCAACTATATTAAACCTTGAAATCTTGTATATCTATACTTTATTTTGTTTCTTTTCTTTTCATCTATAAATATAATAAAAGCTAGTGAAATTTGAGATCTAACTCTACTAACTGGTTTATTTTTACTATTATTGTTGTTTACATTTATTGTTACAACAGCATTTACTTTTAAGCAGTTAGTTTTATTGTCTTGATAGCTGGCCCATATCTCAATTATCTTGTGTAGTAGGTCCTTTCTCTCTGTTACTTACTTGTTTATTGCTAGTCCTCTCTTTCTAGCTGCATAAGGCACACACCATCAAGTGCAATTGCCATTTACTTTGTGCTTATTTACATTTAGTTGCTCCTTCACATTTCTATAGTCATTTACTTTTATTGTTGTTATTTTTTGATTAATTGCAGAACCACTAACGAAGATAACGGGTTGTAGCTCTTAACTGTTTAATTTAGGGTAAAAGACTTAAACATCCCTTGAGATTTATGATAAATACTAAGGGGCATTCTTTTTTTGAATTTTGAGAGAGGGGAAAGTTGGTCAATGGGAACCAAAATCCCATTAACCAAGAATCTCATGTTCTTTTTTTTTAGATTTATGTGGGAATTAGAGAAAGTTTATTTACCTGTGTATCACTTAAGTGATACCCATCTCCTAGGTGGGTGAATAACTTTCCCACCTAGGGGAAAGTTGTCAACACTTGAATGGGACAAAAATGTCCTTTTAATAGTGGATTTTTATGGATAAAATGGTCATTGCCTTATTTACATGAGAAATAAAAGAACATAGATAAATGTACTTACCCGGGTAAGTGTTTCCCAATAAAAACTTACCGAAAAGTGAACGGGGCCTAAATCCTCTCCTCACTTTTTGAATTGGACTAAGGCTTCACTTGTCATAGTTATGTTTAACAAGTTCATCAAAAAGCCTTTTTTTGCCCTTGCTAAGTTTTTAAATTTCCAAAATAGTGGAATCCAAACAGTAGTGACTGCTGACTCCTCTAAGAAAAAAAATGAAGTGATTGATTGTCTACTTGTTTCCATGAAAAAGTTGTCCAAAAATATAACCTCTTGCCTATAGACCCACCATGTTCTCAGCAAAACTGAAAGAGAGAATGAATCATTAAAGAGAAATCTAAAAAATAGAGCAACCCAAAAATAAAAATGAATGCAATTTCAAATCCTCCACCCAACACATGATCTAGCCTGAAAGTGAACATAAAGGAGAAAAAGAAAATAGAACCTTTTTGTTAAGTCTGAATTATAAGGTCATAGAAAACAAGAAGAGATTAAAAAAATCGTAATCTGATTCTATGAAGAAAACTAAGAGCAAAAGATTGAGAGAAGATACAACAAAAACCAAGTATCGAACAGTTATGACTTCACTTCAATCTAGTGACAAACAAAACATAAACCATATTGAAATTTCTTCTGGAAAATGGACAAATCATATTGAATTTCTCAGTTATTTTGAGTCATGATCAAAGGAAAATAAAGGGGCAAATTTGGGTTTTTAAAAATAATTAGCAACATGTGATATCACATGCTAACTGATTTGAACGGATTGTGAAAGGAGGGGGAGTCTTTGTCTGATGACATCATCCCATAGGGATGTCTTAGTCCAATTTCAAAAATGAAGGGAGGTTTTAGTATTTATGAAAAAACTCAAGGGAGTTTTAAGTCTTTTACCCTTTATATCAGCTGCTATCTTCTTGTTAGCAGTCATTATTATTGTTGCCATTATATCTGCCTTTTTGATTTGTTTAACAGTTTGATTAATTTAAGTGTACTATCTTGAATAACTATTGAACCTAATTGACTAAATCTTTCCCTACATATTATAAGGATTAGGTTCAGTTTGAGGGAAAGGGTCTTGAACTTGATTCAAAGGTCTGAGAATTCGGATTGAATTCCAAGACAATCAAAATTTTTAGAACTCTACCCAGTTCATCGGTTCACCCCCTCTTGAATAAGGCCATCTGTCCCAATCAATCTGTCGATTCTGTCCCAATCAGAATTTTTAGTACTCTACCCAATTCACCCCCTCTCCTGAATAAGGCCATCGGCCCAACAAAACCAAATAAAAAACTGATATCTGAAAAAACAAAACAAAACAAAACCATACCTGAGCTTTTCAATTCGAATTGGTGGTTTTTTGAATTGGATCTTCAGTTTTTGGGATTTTCACTAGCACCCTGCATTTGAATATACGCTTGAACTAGATATAAAATGGAGCAGGTTATATCCAAATATGGTTTGAATTGTGTTTGTTTCCCATTTCACAGATGGTCATGAAAAGGTTCAAAATTTCGTCAGGCTACACCCGACAAATCCAGCATATGGGGGGGGGGGGGTGTTGATACTTTGAACCTATCGAACTGTCTGATTTGTTGTGGACCTGCAAGTTTTTTTGGTAGGAGTGGATATGACAGATGACACTGGAGATGGGCTATCTCAATTTGTTGCAGATCTGGTAAATGACGATTGATCGTTTGCGAAACTTGACAGAATCTCATGCTGTTGCAACTTGCAAGCTGCCATCAGATTAAGGGAAAATGGAGGATGTGGTTACAGCAAATCATGAATGGTTTGTACGAAGAATTCTTATCAGTTCATATTAAGAAGCAAAATTGAGAGGGCCCATAAGTTGTTGTTAATAGGAAAGGAAACAATAATCCCATTATCTTGTTTCTTTTATCATCTGTACACAGCAACCAAAGGATCAAATCGGTAGGTCCCAAGATGGGAAAAAGGCACTTGACCAGATTACATGATGAGTTCCAAAGCAAGTAATATAATAATGTCTTATGTTGTAAGCTTACATGATGAGAAGTTGAGAACTTCCATCTCCATGAGGCTTGGGCACCAATCACATCATTCATTGATAAAAGGGTTTCTCCCTCCCAGTCCACTAGTTTTCATCTTCATCCTATGGAGGCATAAGCCAGTAGCCACAGTTTCCTCATAATCAGGAAGCTGTGGTTTTGTCCGACATGGCTGGATGCCTGCAGTGCACCAGCAATGACCAATCATTTAATTTAAGAGCAAACTACAAAGCTGTGGCTGTTGGTGCAGCACAGCTGGATCAAAGACTAGTGCTTCAATTTTAAGTCTAATCTGTAGTACTAAAAAGCTGCAGCTATTTAGTACTTATTCAAAGCTAAACCTCTCATGCCTGCAAAAAAGATCACTAGAGCTAGATCACCCCAGAACAATATAAAAATATCACCTGTAAGTCTCTTTTCCACCCTATTCAGCAGAATTGGTACTTTTCTGCTTTGTGTTCTGCATTAATCTGGGCATTCCAACTGGTAATGTTTTGCATGTGTTCCATCTCGTACCAAACAGTGCTTTCTTTTTAATCTTTCCATATCTTTTTCCTCTGTAAATTGATGCCTAAATCACGTTTTGGCAAAGCTTGCCTTTCCATTCAGTCACTCTTATCAAAATTTGTTTAAGTTTCCCTGATAAAAGAATATCTAGCTAGGGTATCTTTACATAGAGCTGTAAAATGGGCCGAGCCATGCTAGGCTTAGGGGGTTCAGGTCCACAGCACGGCATGATCCACACACAAATTTTTGTTTTCAATTTTATTATGTTAATTTATTCCAATTTCATTTTACTATTTCGTATATGAACAATTGTAATATTGTATACATTAAAATTCATATGGAATATAATTTTAATGATTTTTATCAATTCATTGTCTATCTTGTTTTTTTTTTAATTTTTTATTATTTGCTTTTCAATTTTTCTTAAAAAAAAAGGAAATCATGTTGGCTCGCTGTCCAGACAATGGCCGTGCTGGGCTCCCTCTTTGCACATCCGTGCCAAATAAACTTATTCATGGGCTGAGCCCATTCAAATTTTGGTAAAAGCCAAAGGTTTATTAGTTTTGGATTTTTTTTAGTATTCGGTGCTATGCAACATTAATAACTTCCCCTACCCCTTTTTCCCCGAATTACTGGTTGCAGAATTTGATTCCATGTCAACGCTGAAACAAACCAACTAACCCACCAACGAGACTGCCCTCGATTGGTATTAATTTTGGATTAGAATTATCCAATCAAGGAAATTATTTTGCAGTGCCATCAAAATTTCAAAATGACACGCGTAAGCCTAGCCATTGCATGCATAAACCGTATATGAAAAGATAGAGCTCTATTAACACCTAATGTACTGGACTCCATAAGAAGCAAAACATGAACCACAGGCACATTTTGGTACCTAAATGCAAGGTTCAAAAAATTGACACGTATTGAGAGCCCTCTTATACACTCCTACAGAGGGTGTATCAGGGTTCTGATTAATTCAGGGGGTGGAGACTTAAACCGCCCCCCCTCCCCCTGAACCGGTTGAAAAAAAAAAAAAACTAAAAAAATAGTATCGATGGGCGTATCGATATTTGAAACCTTGCCTAAATGAATATTGAAGAAATTTTCCAAAGAATTATATTGGAGATGGGCCTCGATGCCAGATAGAGAAAGAGGGAGAGAGCTTCTCCAATAAAAGAGGGAAAGAGCTCCAATAAATCCATATTTTCCGAAACTCCACAATACTCGACAAATTTTCTACAGAGTGGTTTCACATGTCCTAACAGTCATTGTCTTCATTGATCAACACAGTAGTCAGGTACAAAAGAGAATTTCCAAAATTGAGAAACAATAACTAAACTAATTTCTGTGATATAATACCATTTGTGGTCAGAGTACATTAATACTGTAGTATAACCTCCAATATTTTCAGGAGGAACCATATAGAGAAATTTCTCAACTTTACAAAATTACTTCCCCTTCTTATTGGTTCCCATCAAACAATACTGAAGCTTCCGGCCTTTCCTCATGTAAAATGAAAATAATCATCATCAAGTAAGAGCAGCAGTAGACATACATCCAAACAAGGAAAGCAGCCAAGAATGATAGTTCAGCTGCCTTATCAGCCAAAGAATATCTTGCACCAGAACTGAATGCTAAGAGCCAATGTCATGGCAGAGAACCATAAAAGTTAGATAAAGGCATGGGTTCTGAACCACTATTTTGTTTGTTTCATACCTCAAAATCACTTGAGTGATTCCATTTCCTATGTATTTGCTTTTTCCGAAGTTGAAGATGTGGTCATTGGTACAGGCTGAACAACTTGAGACTCATCAGAGTTAACACGAGAAGTTTCCTTTTTCAACTTATGGTTGTTGTATGCAGCTACACCTGCAATGGCTGAAGAAAAAAATCACTTAAAGAATGCATCAAGAAAATTATTCCAGATTCTTTTCATTTCAAAACCTATTACACAACAGCCTCCTAGTTGAAAGGTTATATTAATGCTTCCTTCAATCATATGTCCTGGTAGAGCTTGTGTCTTTTAAAAAAGGTTGTAGGAAAGATAGATAACAATTGAAGAGAGAAAAGAATCTAGGTTGTAGGAAAAACAAAAATGAAAATTTTCATTTTTCAAAAGAATGAAAAAAATATGCTGTGTTTACTAAGTCTGCATTTGCTAACAGTGCAAATGCAGAACCAATGCAGATACATACTCCAGTTTGGTTTTGCAGTTATTTGGTAAGAATACATCTTTGTACTGAAAATGAAGGTGTTTTTTTTTCTGACATTTAAGAATTCAAAATGGAAGCAAACTTTTGTATTCAAAGTTGGTCAATGTAAAAAAAAGGTAGAGCCCAATCATGAAACCAGTGTTTGTCCCATTACAACAACCAAAGACAATATAAAATTTATCAATGCAAAACCTGTGTTTCTCACTTTCTGACTGAATTTGCATTTACATCAATACATATGCTTTTTGCATTCTTACCAAATGCAGCCTAAAGGACAGCATAAGAGTATTCAGCCAAAGTGCAAGATAAATGTGCAACAGGCTGTTATAGCTCGAGATAGAATACTCATATCCGTCTGATCAAGAGCTCAAACACAATTCAGAATGTAAATACAAAAAAAGAAAAAAAAAAAACAGTCTAGAATGATCTCAAATCATAAGGTAACTGGTCAGGAAAAGCGAGCCCCTATTAGCACATTAAGCTTAACCTATAACCATCTGAAAGACTGGCCTAAGATTTGAATGACCTCAAATCCAGATTGAGCATGTGCTCAATGTGCAATGCACATCAGCAGATGCACACAAGATGTCTAGGATTCCTTAGGAAAATAAATATTTAATACTAGATTTTTCTTGTTATTATTTACCAATGGCATAACCAAACAGGTTTATAACCGTCAACTTTGTATCTGCAAAAAGAAGAGCTGACAATAAAACAACCACCCAGTCCTTCACAACTCCAGCAACACGAATGGTCAGAGCACTTGTATGTGAGATCACAAGGAAAACCGAGAGGTTCAGTGCAAAGGTACAAAGAGAATTGAGAGTTAGTATGAGTGGTTGAAAGGTCCAGGTTCCTTCTGCATCCATCTTAGGCTTCTCTAAAAATATCCAAGGAATGAAGAGGCATAAAGCACTGCAGAAGGAGAAAAAAGATTTTGCTTTCATGAGCAGAATTTTTCAATATTTTAATTTCCAATTAACATCAACAGAATAGGTTCCACAAGTTCCTTGAGAGAAAAAAAAAAAAAATACATGCCTGCAGGGACTGATGTAGTACATGACAGATATAGGGTTTAATTTGAGACCCTTTCTTTTCACCAGAATCTCCATGAAGATAAGCCTCAAAGCTTCTCCGACAACACCACCCATTTGGTAAACCACTCCAATCCAGCTAACATTTATTTCCCCATAAGAAGCCACAAGAACACCAAAACTGATAATTGACATTATCAGAAGCATTCTACAGCTCATTACTTCAAGTCCTGCTGCAACTCCCAAAATGAAGACTGCGACGGGCACTACAATATTCAAGCAGGTGGAAAAAATAAAAGGATGTAAGTTCTGAGAAATTCAATCTCTTAACCCAGATAACAGGGGCAACCATGAGATACAGGCAACTGTTGTATAAACAATTAGAAATAATTAATCTCTGGAAGTACTAATCACTAATCCAAGTATTTCTCAATATTCTAAGCTATTAATCCATATAAAAATAGGAATTTGAAGATCTCAGGGAAACTTACTGATAGCTTTCAACATTTGTGCAAATGCAACAGAGATATACAGGTATGCAGTGTTTCCCAGCCACAGAGTCATCGCAAACATCGCACCAATCGGAATAACAGATGTAGCATATCTGAATGTTAAGAAATTAATTAGCTTCTATTCCATGCCATGGACTATACTTCTATGCCATTGAAGCAGTTACCCAAAGAAAAGGAACAATCAATTGAAATCGATACTGAAATATGAGAATAAATTCTAAATTACCATAACTTAAACTTTCTTGACCTTTGACAAAACAGACCCTATTTAAAAAAAAAAAGAGAAATATTAAGCGCTATTTTGACCAAAAGTGCTTTAGTATATGTCCCAAAAGTGGCTAAACATGTTTCCTATATCAGTCACTTGTATATGCTGAAAGTTATGATGGGCAAGGTTTTTTTTTTTTTTTTTGGATAGACAAGACTTTCAAAATGAGGAATACAAGTTTTCAAAATCCAGGTGCACTCTTTGGGCTAAATAATATATCTTGTGCATATTGTGTATCCCATATTTTTTGGGCCAATTTATTATGCTGTCTCACCTTATTTCTCCCTCTTCTTTTGTAAGGAATGATAAACTTCATATCTGCTCATGTATTCTGAATGAATCTCCTTTCTTACCAATAAATAACCCCAAAAAGTTCTCAGGTAAAGCTTAGTTGAGTTAACTAGATTTTCATTTTCCATTTACACAGAATACAATGTATTTCTGTGCATTCGCATGTATATTTTATGAAATTATTTTGCTTTCTAACATATATCTAAAAGATTAAATTAATATTAAATATCCAAACTTGATTTCAAGTTTAAGCGGAGATGTTGATTGCTTCTGAATTTATTAACAATCACATAATACAACTAATAGTGATCCCAAGGTTGCCAAGGAAACCAGTTCCTTTGTATTCTGCTTTGTTTTTGGAGGACCTGTTCAATTGATGGGTCCAGGCTCTCATGTTTTGAAAGATTATCACTCTGTATTCCTCCTTACTTTCTCATAATAAAATCTAAGCTACCCTTCTTGGTGATTCTCATCCATGATCAGATAAAATTTCAAAATACAAATCTTGGTAGGAAGTTTGCTGTATGTGAAGAGGTGGAAAAGGATCCAAATGACCTGTTCATGCAATGCAAAATATCCAAAGAGATTTGGGGATTCTTCCTTTCTTTTGTTTTTTGGGTTGATTGGAAGATACTACGCCAGGTACAGTGGCTGCTGCAATTATGGCCATTCATTGCTTTTGATACAATGGGAGCCACTTTATGCACAATCACATCCTATTTTTTCTTTGCAGGAATTTTGGAAGGGAAGAAATCAAAAACTTTGAAGCTAAATCAAGGTTGTTGCCCAGAATATGCAAGAACATATATTGGGCTATCTTTTTTTTTTGATGAATAATAATAAGTTTATTGATTCAGAAGCAACTTTAGAGTGAGTTCATACATCATCCCAACGAGAGGCACGAGCTGCAGCCCCTCCTTGAGTCTTACAAGTAAACTAGGAAAGAAAAACAATAATCACAACTGAGCCCAAAATAATTCTTCCCTATTTA